TGTGTGTGTGTGTGTGTGTGTGTGTGTGTGTGTGTGTGTCTATGTTTTCTGTCCTATGACAGATACCAAATGTCTGAATGATTTACTAGAGGTATCCAGCAAACATCTGGCTCACAGTGTCAAAACGTTTTATAATGCAGGGCACAGAAAACACATTTCCAGACCTGATACAAGACGTTTTAAAGCACCGCGCATGAGCTGACTTTAGCTTATTTCGCAATTTTGAATGAATAAAATGTCGTGCTTTTTATTCTAAAAAATATCATTTTCCATTCCTTCAGTATGCCATGGATGCTTGCGCCCTGCAATTTTTGAAAAATGGCCAAACTCTGATGTAAAAACTAGTGTTTTTTTTATATAGAGCAGAAAACCATTGAAAAACACCACAGTCTATTTTTGCTTGTGTATTTTTCCAGACATGGTACAGAAATACCACACCGCGCTTTATAAATCGTATTCTGTCCTTTACAGGCGAATGTTCCCCAGCTTCAAAGTGAAGGTCACGGGACTAAACCCCAAAACTAAATATATCCTCCTGATGGATGTTGTTCCTGCAGATGATCATCGATACAAATTTGCAGACAATAAATGGTAAGTAAAGTTAGAATAAACGCAAAAGCAATTCTAAAGGACTTTTATTTTCCTTCCAGAAACTTTTTGCGCACTTTACGCACAGCAGGTTTCAGGATAAGGTGGTGGTTATTGTTTGGGAGGTCGCAATTCTCTGTCAGGATGGGAGAAGGGATGGGGGATGGATGAGAATCGGACGTGAAACGTATTCACTCCCTGAGAATTATGAACTGTTTGTTTCTTAATGGTTGCCAAGAAGTGTGGTCAGCAGGGAGAAAAGTTTGTGCCGGAGCTGACGTTCCGGTGTTGAATAGATGTTTGATGACTTTACCTAAAACTATAGCAGATCTATATGCGCAGTGCAACAAGGCTCTCTTTCATGACGGAGCACAAACATATTTATTTAGTGTCATGTTGATCTGTCTAACCTTGGTCAGGAATGCCTTGTTTGGGTCAGTGCGTTTCAATGAGGAGATACTTAGAGAGGATGACTGCATGCCAATACTGCCGATAATGACCTGTCCAAAGTCTCTCCTGGAACAAATTCTTCTCTTGATCCAAGTGTTGGAAGATGGTTTCTAATCTGACCACTGACAATCCAAGACCAACCTCACGAAACGTTAAACACAACGGCACTGTGGGTTAATTATAATCAATAATCCATTTCATTTTAAAAAGCCATAACGCAAAGTTTTAAAAAGAGCAAAATGTCCAAACGTGCCTGTATAGAAATGAAAGTAAACCTTGTTGTGCAGCATAATTAACTGAGCGTTTTTCAACCAGCCTTTGTAATTTGGTGACACTGTACGTTTTATTAATTTTCATACATTTGATTAAATCCTGAAATTTTAAAATGAGTCTAAATACAATGAACATTTACGCGTAATTAACGTTTAGCTCCATGGACACGGTCCACCCTTCCCATTGTCTATGCGCCTGCACGGTTGATAGTTTGTGGGTGTCATTGCGAGGTGTGACAGTGTGACTGTGCTGCTGTGATCCAGGTCTGTGACCGGGAAGGCAGAGCCCGCGATGCCCGGGAGGCTCTACGTGCACCCGGACTCTCCAGCCACGGGGGCGCACTGGATGAGGCAGCTCGTCTCCTTCCAGAAGCTGAAACTGACCAACAACCACCTGGACCCGTTCGGACACGTAGGTGCCTAGGCCTATATCATCTATTCTAAAGTATCACAGCCCCGTTTCCCTGGGAATGTAATGAAAACATGTCACTGCGTTGATCTAAGTGTTGTTTTTCTCATGGTTTGATGCTCAGCGGCACTTCAGCAGCGTGGGCTCTAAAAACAATCCTGTGCAGAGCAAACGCTGGTTTTTATAGTTGATTATTGATAATGAGACATTTTTGTCATTTATATTGAAACCCCATTATCATTATTATTATTATCAAAGACAAACATTAAATCATATTTCAACAGAAAGCAATACATTTTGATAAACATTAAACTTTAAATATTGAGGTCCCAGGTGCAAACTAAATATTTAAGCTTCTAGAATTATAAATTCAAAAACATTGAAAACTTTTCATTTTACTTCCTTTAAAAGAACCACCATCAGTGCAGAATTTACTCTGTTCAATTCACTTTAAAAAATCAAATGAATTTGAGGTCCTCCTGCATTTTTAAGTTTTGATGTGTTATAGTTGCTCTATTCATTCACTAGTAACTCTTCTGAATACATGGTGCAAATAATGCATGTTTTACTCAAATGCAATGAAAACATGGTTTTTGCTACATTATACAGTTTTCCCTGATTATTATTTTTTTATCTTTCAAAAGGAAAGATAGGTAAATAGAGAAAGAGAGGACTGGTTTAGAAAATATTCAGACACAAGATTACAGTTGATGGGGTTGAATTGAAATTCTGGTTGCTAGCAGAAAAAAAGTCTTAACTTTTCAAATAGAAAAATTATAAGGAATCATGTTTTATAAATTGAGTTCTATAATATTTTATGACCATTAAAAGAGATGAAAATAAGAAAGCACTGCAAAACAAAACTGAATAATTTCTGATATCGAAAACATAAAGTTATGTTTAAAGGAAATTGCTAAGTGAATACTTGACCTGGCAAAGTGAATTGGTTTTCAATGTGTATTTATATGATGCTTGAATTCCTTTAAAAATGTACAAAATACACAATATATGATCCTCTGGTCCTAATTTACACACAGTTAAAATGAGAAACTCTGCCTCCATTACTTCAAGCTGGAGAAAACTCCAATCAAAAGTATGATTTGAATTTAGACTCTTTCCATCCTGCCAACATTGAATAACATGTTTGTTGTACCGGCAACTTGGAGCCTCTTACGTACGTTTTGTTCTTGGGGCTTATTACAGAACCCCCTAGATGCATTCAAGTTGCAGACCTCCTGGAAGTCTGCTTTCATAAGTAAAAGGAAGTATTTGGGCACTTTTTTAGCAAGAAATGAGAGAGGCTGTTGTATCGTTCCCATCACCTCCCTCGGCACCAGTGAGGGACAACATGGTACCCATTTCCTAACTTTACCTCCTCATTATTCTTAACTCAATATCTGGCCCCTGGCTTTTGTTATTCCCATCTTAACCCCCAAAACAGAAAACACCAGCATCACTTACTTCATCACCTTGTTGTCAGGCTACAAATGAGCCGAAGGCAGGTTTTATTTTTTATTTTTTTACAAAATTTGGAGCACATTGAGTTCTAATTAGATCTAGAAACTGAATAGTTAGACTATTTCACTGAAGGGCCCAGTCATGAAAGGAAACAACATGAGATCCGCTACAGGCACACGATCAGTGGCAGCTCTGTTTAATGGGCAGATGTGTAGTTACAAGTAAAACACAAGGAATTGAATTCTTTTTATTAAGAGTGTGCAGCTAATGATGATTAGAAGTGTTGATTATTTCAGATGTTTTCTGTAATTTTTTGTATTCAAGCACTCATGCTTTAAAAAAGAGAACATTGTTCTGTTCCAGTTTTATCGACATTAAATATTAAATGTATTACAGTTATCATGCCCACTGAACACAGAGGATCAATTATTAACATACAGTTAATCTAGATAATGTCGATTCTCACCCATTTGTAACATAAGCTGAAATTTGAATGCTGAATATGAAGAAGTCACATTTTCGATTCAATGCAAAAACACAAAAGTGAGTGTGCATTCTTTTACACACACACACACACACACACACACACACACACACCCACACACACATTCACACTAAAGTCTTTATCTACCCACGTGGCACCTTTAATGCTTGTTGCCCTGCCAAGGCCCAGCTGGTGAAATAAAAGTGGAGCTCGCTCGGAATGTGCGCACTATTGTAAATTTTGGGTTAAAGTGCATTTTTGATTGGTTGCAGTGGTTCCTGGCTCGCCCCCTTTTGTGCTGGGAGACAGCACCAGGGGATTCATAAATGAAATGCTGGTGGCTGGACAGAAATCTCCTCCATCAGCTTGTTGGTGCAGCTGGTTGAAATAACTTGTAGATGATTTATAATTACCAGGAGTGAGACATGAGAGCGAAGCATATTGCTGATGCAGATTGGAACCGTTCGGGACAGGGGCCTATATAGCAGACGCTGTTCTCCAGAAATGTCTGGTAATTAGACGCATGTCAGCGGAGTGAGCAGGGCCGAGCTCACAGCTCAGCACTGGAGCCGGGGTCTAATAGGAAGCGAGGGAGGCGAAGCCACATGAGGCCTGAGTGTTTGTGTACAGGGTTGATTGTGCAAACTTTTTTTTAAATTCAAATAGAGAGGTTCAGGTGTAGCGGCCTTCTGAAAAATATTTTTATTTGCAAAAGCGGATAAGAAACAGACAAGAAAAATGCAGCAGATTATTTTTTGTTATGACATGATCAAAACTTTGAATGATGGGTTTGTGTTTGTTGTAATTTATTTTTATTGATATTTTCAGCAGAAAGAGTTTAAATACACATACACGCATTGCATACTTCTTGGATGTATTTCTACAAATAACATCTTTCAATATTCCATGTATAGATGCACATATTGATCGTATTAGAGTTTTGAGGTGAAGGTAAATTCACTGATATTTCATCTGGTTTTATAGTGAAAAATGTTTTAATTTGACATACTAATAACAGTTGTGGGAAGTAACTCAGTCCCTTTACTCAACTACTGTGGTATTTGTACTTAAATAGTTCCACTTAATACTTTTTCTTCCACTGCATTACATTTAAAATGTTGTAGTTTTTAACTCCCAAAGAACTTTACAAACCGGGTAATCATATAGTAAAATATGACGTCCCTCTCAGTTAAAGTATCCAAATGTGTGGTTTGAATGATTTTCATTCTACTTGCTGCTTTGATGCTTTACTAAAAATAATAGTAGTAGTATATCATATACGATAGAAATAGGCACATTCTGCTTAATGACTCGTTTTATTTTTTACTACGTTTCCCTGTTAATCCATGTGTACTCTTATGTAAATACCACTGTGTAGAACTTGTACTTGTCACAGAGTATCTCTCAGACTAACTCTAACCTATACTCTCATAGTTACGGGCCTAGATAAGCAAATTGGTGTTGTTTTCTTGAATTCCTAAAAAATCATTTGTTTTTGTCTCAGGTTTCATACCAAGCTGCAGCTCCTACTTTGATCTTCCCCTCAACTCCCGGAATATTTCTCAGTGTTATTCATCTCCCCCCCCTTCCTCCCTCACTCTGCTCCTGCACTCGTCTCCCTGTCTTCCCACACATGTTTTGGCCAGGAGGGTGGAGTGTGAGGATCGCACTGTTTATATTCGAATGGCAGTGTGCGATGAGCAATAGATGATGGTGTACAAAGCCTGCTAATCCCGAGGCTCGGGGAAACTCTCTGATGTGGGAGAACTTGAAAGCAAAGGGCAGCGGCACGAGACCCAAAGTGATCCCTCACTATCATTAAATACTATCATCTAGAGGCAGGGAGGGGGGGGGCAGAGATACTGAGATCCAGGCAGGGCAGCGGCTGGGCCGGGGAGACGAGGCGTGTGCTGGGGCCCCAGTGGGTGGTCTGCAGCCCCCCCCCCCCTCACAACCCCTCTACTAACACTGGACTTTGGGAACCCACAGTCGGTGGACCATACTTTCTTTTAAGGCTGACATGTACACTTAAAAATTTCCATGCAACTTGCGTGACAGCGACCGACATCTTTAACCTCTAAAATCTTGTAATGTGCCGAGTGATGAGTTTGCATTGATGGGCTTGTTGTTGTGGCTTGTCCAAATCTCGGACGCACGTCTGCAGACCTCAAATAAGGCAGCAATGAATGCATGCATGGGGAAATGTTCTGTTTAACCTACTTTTTTTCTGCACTGCATTCAGAGAAGTCCTCTAATAGGGAGTTAGAGTCTTTTATATGCATCGAAACAGGATGGAAGTGCTGTGTATATAGAAGAATAGCTTTGCAGTATGGGATCTAATCTTATGCCATATCAAGAAAATCAAGAAACATTTAACATTATCACGGCTGCAAGATTGACTTTTTCTCAGTTTAGAAATTATCCTCAGCTCAGATCCAAGTTTCCTGCAAATATTTCATTTATGGCACATTGTAGAATTTGCAGAAGTTGGTTTTCCATCTGCAAGTCACCCACTCTTCAACAGCCTGCTTATCCATGGAGATACACCCAACAAATCCTCACTGATACGTTCTGCACAGGGCCTGCAGCTTCCATTAAATCATCCTGCATCTACATGGTGCATGGCAGGCAGTTGACACACATTTTTACTCATCACAAAAACCTACTGCACCATGTAATTAGATCAAGTTCGACTGGAAATTAATAATGGATGACCATTGTATCATCTGTGTAGGCCTCTATGGTTCACTTGGCTCCAAGAAAGCACTCTGGGGTTATGGCTGTGCAGTAACGCAGGATGCCCCCACAGGTACTGGGGGTCAGGCCGAACCCTTGTCTCTTCTTGGGCTGGCAGTGAAAGGCAGGTACAAAAACAAGCATTGAGATAAGAGATAAGAGGAATGCCTATGGGAGAAGAGACGTGAGGGGGCTGGGTGTAAAAAGGAGGGGGAGTTGAGAGCAAGGGAAGAAAAAAAAAAACTATTTTTTTAAATCTGTGAATGTAAGTGGATCTGGTGAAAATAAAAACCATTAGATTTCCACAGGGCCGTCGACCATGACCCCCTGTTCCGTCAGAACAATTAGACTTAAGACCCACGGATGAGAGGGCCTCAAAAGAGAAGTTCAAGGCTCAAGTTCAACTGTGTGGACCGCGTCTCCATGTCGCCACTGGTACTAGTCATCACTTAGAGCAGACTGGGTTAGTCAGGTTACAGAGAGAGGACATGCTCCTGTCAGTCTGTTACTCTTCTGCTTGACTTCTCAGGCATTACTGTTACCATGGAAACACTCCTCTAATAAATAGGACATATAAGATTTAATTCAGTTTTCAGGCTGAAACAGTAGGAGTCAGATATTTTCACTTCTTTAAATGAGAAGAAACTTCAAATGAGTCATTTTTCCCACTTCTTTGTAATGCAATAAAAGTTTTGGTCAAACATGTATTTTGTTTTTCCAAAAAGAAGTACAGTTACTCCGTTTGTGATTGCAACTGTCCCATTAAAATGTATTTATTGAGGCTATTTGAGATTGAAGAATTATATATTTTTTAAATCAAGTAGCTGTCAAGCCCGTTTTTCTTTTCCATGCAAAAACGAAATATGGCTGTAAAAATTCACTTTTCCAGGGAAACAAAATAGAATCAATAACCAAACCAACAAACCAACAAAGCAACAAACAAGTAGTTATTATACATTTTGCCAAAACAATGAGTTTCCGGGGGATTATCGGTTTTTTTTTTCTTCATTAAATTCTCACGCTACTCCAAAATGCTATCAAAGCATCTGGACCTCACTTCTTCATTTTTTACTGTAGAGAAGTTTTATAAAAAAACAAATTTGAATTTGTATTCAACAAAATGTGTGACTTTAAGCTCCACGTTTTCTCTCTCGCAGATCATCTTAAATTCGATGCACAAGTACCAGCCCAGGATCCACATCGTGAAGGCGGATGAAAACAACGGCTTCGGCTCCAAAAACACGGCCTTCTGCACGCACGTCTTCCCGGAGACTGCCTTCATCGCGGTCACGTCCTATCAGAACCACAAGGTACGAGCTTCATGCACCACCTTAGGATTTGGTTTCTGTTTTTAATGCAGAGCGCGTTTTATGAGGCAAATGAAAAGTTTAAATTAAGTCATTAAATGTCTCATTTCTTTTTCCAACTAAACTAAACCCACTATGATTAATTACGTAATTCACACAAGACTTGGTTTGAATTACGCCCATGTTACTGACGGTAAACCGGATGGTCTGTGAGGTACAGACTCTTGTCGCTGTCAGACTGACAGACGAGAGAAAGCTGCAGATACTCGACGAGACCACGTCTGACCTCAGGAGACTTTGTCCAAGTCACAGTCCTGCAGCGCTTTGTGGACAGAGACAAGCTGCAGATAAAACACTACAGATAGACCCCAACTACCAATGATACAGTGATACTACTGCCATTATTACTAGTACTACTGCCACTACATAATAATAATAATAAAATCTGCAATTATTTTGTAAAGATAATAATACAAACTAAGTACTCCTGCTATTAAAAGGCACACTACTACTACTAATAATAATACTTATATCATTATTTTTAATATAATAAAAAATAAAAGCAACAATACTGTATTATTATGGAAAATAAATAAATAATAAATACGAATAGAAACACCCTGTCTTATTCCGAATATGCAAGAATTTTATTTTATTTCAAAACACTTTGAAATGTTTGTGCCACTTAAGTGTTTAGTCTTATTTGCAAAGTTATAGGGAAAGTGTGCAGGTTGTATTTACTTTATTATCAGATCAATTGGTTATTTTCAGTCTATCTTGTTTATTCGTCCGAATAGCAGTTTGTGCATTGGTAATGGTTGCGCAACATAAAACCACAGGCTATAATCGGTTCTGGTTGTTTAAAAAGATGAGAAAGAAAACGAAAGTTCAGTCTAATTATGTATTATATTTAAATGAGATAACAACAATAATATTATGTTACTTGTTCTTTGTTGGGGCTGGTCTGTTTGTTTCTTGCAGGCGTAAAGTGCAATGTTCACGAGTAGAACATTAACTTCTGTGCGTAAAAACTGAAATTCTGGAAGGTTTTGTTCTTGTTCTTTTCCCATAATGTTTTAGAAATGGATATCAACTATAATAACACTGAATTAAAGTTAAATGTCTTAACCTATGTGTGATTTCTCGAGGCCGTGCAGCCTCCAAACTAAAGTTGTTTATATCTTTAGTTTGGATTTTAAGACTCTGGGGAAAGAAGCAGAAATAAAACTCGGTATTTACTCTGTGTCCCAAATTTCTCCAGAGGAAAAAAACCTCAGGATAACAGATATCTGTAAACAGCGTCTGTTTAACATCATTTAACCATGTTGGCCTACATGTTTTTAGTTTGGGGAGGATATGGCAGAAAAAGGGGGCGAGCGCTCATAATGTCCCCGGAGCCAATCAGAGGCCCCCGCGCTTTCTGGGAACAGGAAGCGCAAATGACCGACATTCTGAAGGAACCATTCATTATTTTCAAACATGTTATTGGGGGACTGAGATCGTAACCTCGGGGCTAATTATTGGGGCTTTGCAGAGCTGCAGAATAACACAGGATTTCTGATTTCCTGGCGCTTTGGCATGACTGTCTAATCAAACAGTCGAACATCTGCTGGAACAATATGTGCTGCAGGCCTGCGTCCAATTCACCTGTTTCACTCTCAGCTCATGAAAACGCTCAAAGTTTCCTGTCACAGCTATAATCAAAACATTTTCTACCAATGTGAGATTTCTGAAGTAATGATGTTTTCTACAGATTTTTGTCAAACTGGAAAAAAACTATTTAGCTTATATCCAATTTAAACATAATAAAACGTATTTTGAGTACATCTGGAGATATGTTTTATAGGCCTTGGTTATTTTTTAATGAGCAGAGTTTGGACACATTCTAGTCTTTGAAGTTGTGAATGAATTTTGCACGATTGTCTCAAGTCTATGCTCCCAAATTATATTGAACAGTTTTCAAATCCTGTGTTCTTATTATTTCCATTCTCCCGGCCCATGTCAGCAGGAGATAACACATGTGTTTTGCAAAATACGTTGCTTTTCTTTTTCTGTAAACTGAGCTCAGGCTATCACTTTGGAGTGGGTCATTGGTATTTCCTCTTGGAAAGGTTGCAACAAGGCCCTGAACCTTTTATTCCAAAGACAAAACAATATCCAAATGCTCTGCCAGGCTGCATCAGGAGAAGCTGAAGCAAAAGTGTCGCATGATGAGAGATTTTTACAAGTTTTGGTGAAAGTGTCTGCCAGCGTGCAGACAAACCTGCAGTCTAGTCAGAGAGCTGCGAGCACACAAGAGCTGCCAACTAATTACCTGCCAGAAACCTCCGCTCATGAGAGGGATATCCCTGGATTGTACTTATTACCTCTTTGGGATTCACTCACTGTTTCGGGGTGGCTCTGAAAAAAATAAATTCCACACTTTGGCTTATTCTTATTCTGAAAAACACAAAATCATATAATCGATCACATTATTTGCATCTGTCAGGCATTTGCCAACTATCTGCCGAGCCAGAGAGCATCAAATGTAACATAATAAATTGTGAAAGAAAATATGTCTTATTGCTTTTATTGAATTGTTTAGTTCAGAATCCCAAAAGGAATCTTAGGTTTCTGGATACGTGATCTATTGTTTAGTTCTCTCCAGTGACTTGTAAGCAGCTAGGTGCATCCAAAAAAACTTCAAAACTAATCTCCACATAAACATCTTGTCACAAGGCCATCATATAAATCTCAAGCTGAGGAGGACGTGACTGTTGATGGTCTAGTAGGAGGAAAACAGAAATGTTGCCTTTTAAATAACTGCTATTTTTCTAACAATTCATACAAGTGTGTGTAAAGATACTTTTAGTTGAACATCTTGTAACAAATGGTTTTCAGTGCAGAGGATATGTCACTAATGTCGAGTGTGTTTTCTGTTTATAACAGATAACTCAGCTGAAGATTGAGAACAACCCGTTTGCAAAAGGTTTTCGTGGAAGTGATGACATGGAGCTGCACAGGATGTCCAGGATGCAAAGGTATAGAATGTTTGATGCATTTGAAAATCGATGGTGTATTAGTACACAATGCCTTTAACTCTGCAGTTTGCACTTTAAGTTTTCATTTGACAAGAGTGTATGAAATTCAGGATCAAAATAGTCAAACATTCTGTCAGTTTCTTACTTACGGATGAAAATAAATGATTCCTCTTTTTTGCCGGGGACACACTAAAACCCCTCGAGAAGCCCCACACCCCACTATGAGAACCCTTGCTTTAATTGATGCTGGCCTGTGCTAAATGGAGATACTGACATAAACTCAGTGATGTCAATTAGACGGGCATTAACTGACATCCATGGTCACACTGTCCCTTAACAAGCCCCACTTTAATCCTCCAGTCACCCCAGTGTAAGCCAGTTATGAGCGTTACTTTCACTGATGTAAGTGTAGTTCCTGATCCTCGGCCAGTTTTCATGCCAGAAGACTTTTATGGTCGATTTGGAAGAACCTCTGAAACACGACTGCAACATCTCCTTTCCACACTCGTTCTATACCAGGATGTTCCAACAGCTTATGTGTCAGCTGTGTGTGTGTGTGTGCGTGTGTGTGTGTGTGTGCTTGCGTGCACTTGTGCGTGTACTTGTGCGTGTACTTGTGCGTGTGTGTGTGTTAAACCGGTGGTATCGTTTGGTCCAGCAGCCAAGGCAGTACACGACCACATTGCTCCCTCTCTCTCTCTGTTATTCAGTCCAGATGAGGGATGGAGTCCATACTGTGTGGAAAACACTTTTTCAAAGGACAAAATCTGGTTTCTTAACTTACAGCCCACCCCCCCTCACCCCCACCCCTTTGGGCGGCCTATACAGACGTTGTGTGTGCGTGTATTCAAATGCAGAAATCCCATATCGTCCACACTGGAAAAGCTGCTTGGCGTGTCCACAACGTGCTAAAATCCTGCTTCCTTCCCATAACCTTTCAGTCTGAGCCACAGTCAGAATAAAGAGCTTTCTGTAATTAAGCATTTCAGATTAACGTCATGATTTATGCTGCAGAGAATAATCCCTGGACGATTGTTCTGTCTCTACTTCTTTTAAAAATTGCGCGCTTGATTGTATCAGACGCACGTTAAGTTACTTTAAGTAGGTGCGTGCCACAAGATAATACGACATTTTAAGTGAAATGAATTTCACCTATCAAAACCTGCAAATAGATGGAGGTTGGTGGGAGGCCAAACCACACTATCAGTCTTACACGCCATTGTCCGCTCCTGCCAAAGTACAGTAAGCCGTGGACGTCTGCTCTTGGTTACAGTTTTTCTAAGGGAGAGCTTATTGCGAAACCAGGTCACTGTTTCGACTGAAGCGATCCCTGAAATCAAAGACCCAAAAGTAGCAAAATGATCTATTGATGGATGCGGTGGATTAACGGGAGTGAAAAACATGCAGGCATTTTCACTGAAGAGGAGCATCTCACTCTGTGTGTCCTGAGTCTGTGTGATTCACTCATGGTGAATGTAGTTGTCTCTAAGAATGCTTTTTACAATTTCAGGAAATCTTAAATATGCACTATTTATAACATGCAATAATATTTCAGGTCAGCTCCAATAATTCCTTACGTTTGTCTGTCTGCACATCCACAGTACCAAGGAGTATCCAGTCGTGCCGCGCAGCACAGTGCGACAGAGAGTGGGCTCCAGCCAGAGTCCTTTCAGCGGGGAGGTCCAGGGCATGGGCACGCCAAGCACCCTGAGCTCCCAGTACTCCCAGTGTGAGAACGGGGTCACTAGCACCTCACAGGACATGTTGCCCCAGTCGGGCTCCTACCCCCTGCCACACGAGCACGGCCAGGACTTCCACTGCATCAAGAGGAAAGGTACGGTATTTTATAATACTTGTAGCCTATGTTTGTTTTCATGATATTCATTAATTATGAGTAGAATAGTAGAAATGTATTTGTTTTGGTGTTAATAAACAAATGATTCTAAAAAGGTTTGTGACTGCACATTTTGCTAAAAGAGAACAAGTGAGTGACACTGTTCTTTGTCGTTCTACCTGCAGTGGAGGACGACTGTCACTCAAGTGAGCACAGCTATAAGAAAGCCTACCCGGAGAGCTCGTCCAGTGAGGAGGACCATTACTACCGTCCTGTCGGCTACGCCCAGAGCCTCGGCCTGGCCGGGGGGCCCTACCGCAGTGAGTCCAGCCAGCGGCAGGCCTGCATGTACGCCAGCGCATCGCAGGGAGCCGAGGCCGTTCCCAGTTTGGAGGATATCAGCTGCAACACCTGGGCCAGTGTGTCACCCTATGGGAGTTGCTCCGTCACCACCATGCAGCCGATGGAGAGGCTGCCCTACCAGCACTTCTCCGCTCACTTCACCTCAGGGTCTCTGGTGTCCAGACTTGGCGGAGTCGGGGGCCACGCCTCACCGCAGCTGGGTGATGGCCACCACGCGGCCATGTACCAGAGCTCCATGACCCACCAGACTCTGGGCCGCCAGTGCAGCCCCGGTGCTGGGATCCAGTCACCAACATCCGGCCTACAGGGAAACGAGTACCTCTATACACACGGCATCCCACGTACATTATCACCACACCAGTACCACACTGTGCATAGTGTCAGCATCATGCCAGAGTGGAACGAGAACAGCTAAAAGAGCTGACTTGGCCGTCGACAGGTGAAAGGAAAAAAAGGACCAAAATCAGGCGGGTTTTTGATGAAGTTATATTTATATTTTTTAGAGATGCTGTCCATCTTAATGAGATCCGTGTTGGTTCACTGACGGCCGTGGATATTCGTGAGATTCGGTGTTGACTAGGAGCATCTTCTTACTTAACTTGTTGTGACAGTATCTGCACTTATAAGAAAATGACAGAAGCATGAAGGTGAGGAGCCGGACCAGACAAAGACTTCTCAAGTGCAGACAAACGCAGACACTGATCAGCAGAAGAAAAGGCTTCAGATGTCTTCATGCAGTGTTTTTCTTCAGAGACAAGGGAATATGTTTTCATCATTTTTGAAGTACAAAACTCTTATTTTGTACCCATGTCCCGAATTCATGTAAAAAAAAAAAAGAACATTGTCTTCTGTCACATTAGCTTGAGTTCTCATTTCCTTTTAAGTTTTTGTAGTTTACAACTTACTTTGTAGTAACATTGCTATGAGTTGTTTTGTTTTGTTTTTTTAATGAATAAGTAAATGAGAGCTTTTGTTGCAGCTCTTTGGTGAATTTGCTCTTAAATCTGTAAGAAGGGGTTATTTGGTTTCCTGCTGCAGGGTTCATGTACATGCACGTCAAATAGATTCATCTGAATGCTGCAAAACTGAAACATAGACAAATAAGACAATGACGTGCAGCCGCATAGACAATATCATTAACATGACACTAAAGTAAAAACCCAGATCTGTTGCCCATATATTGCCATCATGATCCAAGAATTACAGTAATGAACTAATATATCAGTTTGCAGGGTGCATTGCATTCAAGTTTAGTCCAGTCCAGTTATGGTTTTTACCTGCCTACATCCAGCTCTCTCTATTAAATATAATGAAATCTTCTTACAAACACAATACAACTGCAGTTTATTTCCAGTTGATTTGAGATACAAACATGCAAACATTTGACGTTGCAGCAAAATTAATACAAAATCTTTCCATCACACTGATGGCTTCAAATTTAATCTTGGATCGTTTCACTCTCAACCTCTCAGCAGTTACACCATCCAGGTCCTAATGGCGAAACATCACATTACCATCATTTACAGTGTGAACCAAACTAACTTAAAGCCCTAATATCAATATTGAATTCACCTGAACACTAATCAATCAATTTATATTGATATTGAATCAAATTACTTGAAAATAAATTAGTTATATCAGACTTCAAGTCATCACAGGACCTGAAACATGACTGCTGGACATATAAGAGGCATGAAGTTACTGACCCATCACATCTTTATGAGGTGAAACTATGACCGGGTGCGGGTTAGTCACCTTGTTGTGTGGTTCCTCTGCTCTCAGGTGACCAGAATCCACAACATATCGCCATTAACGTCATATCACTCCACCATCCCTCAGACATACATGTAAGGTGTGCAATATATAGTTCCAGATCTTAATTAAGTAGCAGAATACAATTTGTATATGTATATAATTACCATTTATTGGATTATGTAAATTCTTAAAACTAAAACTGAGAAAAATAAAGTATTATTCAAAATAAGTCTCCACAAAAATCAATCCAATCTTATTGTAGGTTCGGCCATCAATAAATGAATCATACAGAAATACAATTTCATCCTGGCCCCTGGTTTTCTAATCTGCAAAAAAGCTGAGTGGAAACAAACCTCATGGGAAACAGCCGTGTATAAAAATCCAAAATTAACTTTCTACAAATTGTTGTCACAAGGAAAAATTGGTTTTAACTGAAAATGTTGTATTTAGGGAAAAACTGCTTGTTATTTATTTGGATTGTGTCCTTTAACACACTCCACATACTTGACAGTAACTACACAGAAATATTGGTCGTCCCTCGTAGGGAAATGTCTTTTAATTGCTCTGGATCATCTTATTTTGATATGCAGACATAAACACAGCATCACAGTTCGATGACGATCTTTGCATCTAAAACACCATCACATATTTTATCGTGTTTCAGCCCTGCAGTTTTGTGAAGGAGCCTTTTTTTTCCTATCTTTGTGTAAGCTCTGATTGTGTGTTTCATGCAGTCTCATGTTGTACCCAGTGAATGTGTGTGCTCTCACATTTTAAGTATTAACCCTCAAAATGGCACTTCTCTGACAATCAAACTAAATTGACATGTAAAGTAGCAGTTGGACACCAAGTAGAATGTAAATCTGACAACTCCAACTAAATTTACTCTACACGCTAAAGCAGCGGTCGGTCTCACCGTACAATTGAGTGTATGTTAGAGGTACGTTTTTACATGTGGACAAATGCAAAAATTTTAAAGGCTTGTAGTCATTAGAATGTTATTTGTCAATAGTATTTATTTTTCAATGTACATCAGTCTGCTTCTGCATGTATTAAAGATAGAAGGTCCAATTTCCTTTTTTTTTATAGCCATTTTTTTAATGATTGTTTATAGGATTTTCTAATCATACTTATATAGAAAACGGGAGATCGCTAGACGGCCATCAACAGGTATCAAAATAAGATTAAACCACATGAATAACTTTGTAAATAAACATGTACATAACAGAATACCTGCAATAAATTCAAAAACAATAACACATGGTTCTTTTTGTCTTATTGTCCAGAGGAATTGCAGTTGTGATATCGGGTGATTTTAATATTTCTGAAACATATGGCGCCACATGTGTCTGGTGCTGGCACGTTCTAACATTCTCGTGCAAGTAAAATCATATCTTCATCTGTCGAGTTGATGCATTGAAGGTGGTGACCTCACATTATCTACCTTCAGCCAGAGCAGAGGTTGAATCAGAAGAACTGAAAAACAGCAGGACCTTTTTTAAATGGTGCAGTTTGTAGTAAACCAGTTTGTATGTGACAGTCACATGTTCAACTATCCCTTTAACATACAAGGGACATGTATGAATGTAATGAGAGGTACGATGGAAGGTGGGGTGTATTTTCAAATTTCCCATAGCAAGGTTTTCACAGCATAACATGTCACAGAGTCATTTAACATATACGTATAGAAGTAGACAAAATATGAGAGTGCATTACAATCTTTAACCAGCTCCTATATCTAAGATCTGTTAATGGACTTTCTGCAGAAAGACTTGAACAATATGGTTCATCTCAGAAAATTGTCTGTTTCCCTTCCCCCTTTCCTTGACCCGTACAGTTTCTTGGTTTCTTCTTCTGTTTGTCTTTCACTGTTCAACCCATCCCCTCTGCTTCATCAGCTCCTTTTACTCCCCTCTATCCCGCTCCCAATCCCTCCATCAACCCCTCCACTCTCTCTCTCTACCACCCCGTGGCCAAACACACTGACCTAGACTCCCCAGCCTGCTTTGATGTGAGCGATGTGACCCCTGCGCTCCAGATGCCCCTACACCGCCAGTCTTATCCTCTCCGAGAGCCGGCACAGCCCACAGAGAGGGCCAGTCATTAACCCCATACAACCCGGGCCTCCCATCCACTGCTTAAACACATGATGTATCACAACACCCACCCCCATGCATCTCCCTCGGATTCACCCAAACATGCATGCGTGGGCGAGGGGACGATGATGCAATAGGCTCTTTAAACATTTAAAGAACGGGTCAGCTTTTCAAAGGGAGGAGCGGGAACCTTTGGCCACCGCTTCAGTTATCATAGTCAGCGGTTGAAAGTCTGGTGATATGTCAGAAGGAAAACAAATGAATGTCTAATGAAGGGAAAGCCTGGATGATGAATGAAACTTCACACAGGTACATTTTTGGTTTATTTGGATTATGAGTGTATATCTTTGCCATACTTGGAATGATAGGGATAGATAGGATGAAAAGAACTGGGGTTTTTTTCAATTAAGTGATTGAATTTGATAAAATGTAGGAAAAATATGCATCTTAGGAAACTGATTACTGCAAAATGTTGACATTTAAATGTAAACCGAACAACACTGAATTCCTTCCTACAACATCAAGAATCAGCAGAAAGAAAATTAAAACATGTCATCTCAGAGTAATGATGAGTCATGATCTCAGTCAACCTTAAATCTGAAACCTAAACAAATCGTAGTCTGGGTGCCCCACATGACAAAGGAGAAGAGTGCAAGAACAAGAGCATTCCTAGGGGTAGAAAAACGAGGGAGGGGATTACTTTATTAAGATGTACTGAAACACAGATCACCACAGATGGATGAGCGCCTCGAACAAAGAGGGGTTTCAGAAAATCAAATCCATCTCATGCAGGAGTCACAAACATCTGTTTGAAAAGTCAAAGTAATACAACTATAGGTCTTTCATTAGAAACTGGGAGCCCCCTTTTGAAAACCTTTAGATAACAGGATAAGGCATCAATGTCAGACTCATTCTTAGCTTCAAAAGACAAAAGACTGTAACGGACAAAGAGGTGATTTCTTCTTATAACCACTGATAGTGATTCTCCACGCTGTTCTAATAGAGAGGTGCCATTCTTGGCCTCAATCGACAGAACATCTGGACCGTCCTCACAAGGAGGCAAACGCTAATATTGCTCTTGCTGAGAGATAAAATAAAGTCGTTTCTTGACACGTTCCCAGGACAGATGTTTGATTCCTGGCCTGACGCTTGTTGAGGGATAGAAGTGGAAGACGGTCTGGAATTAGGGGAGTCCTCCATCAGATAACACATTTTCTGGTTCATGTAAAACTGCCCACCACATCAACGGAGGCATGCATCACCATGATGGGAAATCTACGACTGTGCACGGCGGACAGTTTTTACCTCCACGGCTTGGGACAGGAGCGCTGAAATGGGAGCACAGACCTTTCCATCTCCCACCATTCAGTCTTTCAGCACCACTCCTGGCCAGAGTCTTTAAAAGAGAGTGGGAGGAGAAGGGGGAGGGCAAGGAGGGTCCTGGGGAAGAGGCAGACAGGGATGGGGCAGTGTTGGTAGGGTGAGAACGAGAGAGAGTCTCAGAGCAAAGCTGCAAAAGCTGGTAAGTTTGAACAGGAACTGCTGCCTGTGCAGTTTTGTACATTCTGGATCTGCATGTTTGAGTTAAATATTTCTACTTAATGTTAAATCTTAAAACCAATGGTCAATTTTTCCAGATGATAAAATCATTCAGCTATGGTCAAGGTGTTCCTCATGGTCAATAACAGGCTCCCTGCTCTTAACAACATAAATTACATTTATAATTGTATTAATATAATAACCATTTCACACAGAACACTATGTTGCAAAGTGTTGTATGTTGTATGTTGAACCGGGTCCTCTACAGCTCAGAGATTGGTTTTAACTGCTACACCTCTCTTCTCAAGGTTAAGGTTTTGAATGACAAGACAAAATGTATAAATTTAAAAAAATAAGTTGGATTTAATGAGATATCCTGTAAACTCAAGATATGATCATTACTCTTTAAACACTGGATGATATTTAATATAATTACATTTAATTTACCACACAAATGATCTAAAAAGTTGGATGGTAATCATCATCTAAAAGGAATCAGCACTCCGATCTTATAATCTGTTCCCGGGAATGGCCATGACACCTTCAAAGTTCCACATACTAATGAGGATAAACACTGATCTTGTTATGCACCCTTCAGCAGAACTGAACTGCAAAGTGGATTGACATGAGAGCCATTAATTCTGTTCTGTTTTCCAATATTTTTATTTTTATAACGGTGATTTAGTGAGTGATATTGAGCGATTGTTTCAATACCTGATCTTAATCTGAATGATCAAGATCCCTGAATTGGTAAAGTTGAACTCACTAACAACATGACAGAGTTATGAAGACCGAAATGAAAGAGAAGAAAAGGGACAGAGTCTCAATTCACCGACATTTGACAAGAAACAGATGATAATGATGAGAAAAACGTTCTTTTTATCTTGGGAAATTATTTAGAATTCCTGTGTGATTGTGAGCCAAAACAATTTTCAGCAATGGAGGAAAAGTCTTTCCATGACAGGTAAATTATGACTGTTCAACAATTCTTATCCCAAAAGCCAGTTCAGTTGAGTGAAAAATTGTGCCGTACCAACCCTGCTATCCAGTTTAGTGCAAAGAACACACATCTATTCATCAATTACACAAATGCATCTCTGCATAGAGACACTTTTTAATCATAGCCCACATTAATCAGGATTTGATTTTAACATTATATTTTCATCAGATAAAAAAAGGATTCACTCTGCCGCAATGACAGACCATTTTTAACCAAAGGCTGCTCTCAACTGTAGCTCTCCATGGAAGATAACCAAGACTGAGTGAAATTATAGCATTTGCTCAGTAAAACCATCATATCAGATTTGAATGGATGGTTAAGAAGTGCCATCCATCCTTGTCACGGGGAGACTGGGCAGGGTAGACCATAAGCGTTTCAATGTCAGAGCAGGGCCCAGCTGCAAAATGGCCTCCAGAGTTTCTCATAATTAGAGCTGATAAGGCACCACAGCCAGGCTCTCTCCATTCCTCACTCAGTCTGTGGGAATTACAGGTACAGACTGTCAGTAGAAAGCAATCCTTCCTCTCTTCCACCTGGGTAGTTTCCCCATATGGAACACATTTGGACTTGTGTCAGTCCTGTGAGATCCTGCTGGTTTGTTTCAATATAAACATCTCTATCCGCTTTGACCTGGGAAGATCTCTACACTGCAGTCGCAGGTTACACTGCAGTCACAAAAAAACCAGATGTAACACATTCAAAGGAAATAAAAGACCAAAACTCTTACAGTAGCTGATAAAGAGGAAATCAGGACATTTTAATGATTCATTTGTTGAATTAGAAAATACCATAAATGAAATTAATCACAACCTTCTTTTTCATAGGTTTGACCACTGTTTTCATTGAGGTAATTACTAGAACCTGGAAAAGCTGCAGCATTGCTAAAACAATTCAACTATTGTCAGAGTGAGATGATCAGATATCGCACAACTTTCATTGTTCACCTTTGACCTGCAACACTTTCCATAGCTATGCCTACAAACAATAAAGGATTATATCAAGACGTCACATGATACAAGTTTTTGTTTTGTTGAAGTTGTCGCTCACCAGGCTGTCGTTTGTAATCTCTTATATTGTTGACCACATATATCCATCCATTAATTCATCCACCCGTCCTTCCATCCTTCCTTCCATCTGTTATCTATGCCACTTTTTCTTTGAGGCTCAATTAAAAATGATCAAATAAACACACATATATAAACTTGGATGGTTTAATCTTCATCCAAATTATCAAAAATATTCCAGTTTATTTTTCAGTTACTGGGTTAATTTAGACCGAACCCACGGCCACATAGTACATTTTCATATCGATTTTGCGATCTTGGTGAAACAAGGTCGCGTGAACACTGATCACACCTAATCCAATACCAGCAGGACGTCAGTGGGCGTGAATAACCTGGTCGTACAAAGCTGTCGATTGAGCAGCGCTGCAACAGGAGTGTACCACACCCTCTCATGCAAAAACCGTGCTGCACATTAAGCGCCAGCTATGGGATACCCCTGCCCACGATGGCAGCCCTGGCTCTATATGAGTACTCGGCAGGGAGCTCTGTAACTGCTGGGGGGATCAATACCATGCCTACAGAGTAACTGAAC